GACCGCTTTGCAGAACATCTACGCTCGGTTCGCAATAAACAACTGCATCTCCCAGTTGCGAACCATTTCAACTCCCCATCCCATTCCTCAGACGACATGTCCATCCTGGGCCTCCTGCAGTGCCACAACGATGCCACCCGAAGGTTGCAGGAACAGCAATTCATATTCCGCTTGGGAACCCTGCAGCCCAATGGTATCAATGTGGATTTCACAAGTTTCAAAATCTCCCCTCCCCCTACCGCATCCCAAAACCAGTCCAGCTCGTCTCTGCCTCCCTAACCTGTTCTTCCTCCCACCTATCCCCTCCTCCCTCCTCAAGCCGCACCTCCATCTCCTACTGACTAACCTCATCCCGCCCCCTTGACCTGTCCGTCCTCCCTGGAATGACCTATCCCCTCCCTAACGCTTCAAAACAATTTATGTTTTCACCCTGTAATGGAAATGCTGATGGGGGAGGCAAAGCTGCACTGCCAGCTTAACAACCTTCTAATAAGCCCACTGAGAAGAGCTTTGAGCACCCGAAATACCTGCCTTTATCACATGTGTCTGTGGTGCAATAGGCTACTGCATTCAACAGTTAACCAAAGTGTTGCTGGTTCAAAACTACCCAGAAACGAAGAAGTTCTTTACTTGCCCTCTTGTGGTGCAATGGTAGTGCCCTTGTCCTGGACCAGGGAGGCTCAGGTTCAAGTCTCACCTGCTCCAGGGGTGTGTTATAACATCGCTGATCAGGCTGATTAGAAAAAGAAGATCAAAACTGGGGAGGCGTGATGGCTCAGTGGTTAGCACTGCTGCCTCAGTGCCAGGAACCCAGATTCGATTCCATCCTTGGGTGACTGACTGTGTGAAGTTTACACGTTCACCCTGAGTCTGCATGGGTTTCCGCTGGGTGCTCCGGTTTCTTCCCACAGTGCAAGTTAGGTGGATTGACCATGCTAAATTGCCCGTAGTGTTCAGGGATGTGTAGATTAGGCGTGTTAGCCACGGGAAATGCAGGATTATAGGGAAAGGGCATGGGGATGGGTGTGGGTAGGATGCTCTTCGGAGGGTCAGTATGGACATGTTGGGCCAAAGGGCCTGTTTCCACACTGTAGGGATTAAATGATTCTATTCTATAATTCTACGACTGGAAGCTGAGGCAGTTGAATTGCTTAAATATACACTTGTGGGATTCTATGTCAGTTACTGCTGACCTATAGAGAGAGAGCAGAATTCCATCTATGTCTTGAAGTTACTGGATGGAAAGTTGACTATACCTTGCCTGTAAGAATGATAGTTACTGAGTCCATCTCGCAAAAGAAACTATTATTGACCCTCAGAAAGTTGTAACTCATGAACTGATTTTTTTAGTACCTTTGGATTCGACAAAACTTGTAATATGCAACCCATTTCTTCTCCTGTCTGATTTATTTAGTTCCTAGAGTGCATATCTGTGTGGAAGGAGTAGCAAAACAATTCCTCTGCATTTTGAATTTCTTATTAGTAAACCCTATCTTTGATTTCAGTTTAAAGGTTTTTGCTGTAGGCTTATTTTGAAAATTGTAATCCGAAAACCAGGAGCATTAGGGATATATCCTTTGGCCTACCTCAGTAAGGGAAAAGAATTAAAAAAGGAAAGGAGTAAATCAAACAATACCTTGCTGTCCTGGGCTTAAGAAGGGAAAAGCAATCATAATTTAAATTTACCGCTATCCCACAATTTGTCTGTGATAAATTGGCAAAGAAGAATCAATGCATGTGGCATATTTAGATTTCAGAAGGCTTTTGATAACATTTCACACTAAAATTAAAGTGCATGAGATTGGGGAAGAAGCTACTAATATAGTTTAAAAATTGGTTAACAGACTAAAAGCACGAAGTATGGATAAATCAATCATTCTGTGGATGGCAGTCTATTTCTAGTGGGGTATCAAAAGTTCCACAACTATACACAATCTATATAAATTATGTGGATGTTAGTCGCAATTGTAAGAGCCCAATTTTGTTGATGACACTAAACTAGGTGGAAACCTAAGTTGTTAGGAGTATTCAAGAAGGCTTCAAGAGGATTTAGACAAGTTAAGTAAATAGCTGGAACATATCAAATGGAATACAATGTGAATAAGTTTGGAGTTATTTATTTTGGTAGAAAATATTGGAAAGGCAGAATATTTCTTAAATGGTGGGAGATTGGAAAGAAGGTGTCCAAAGAGTCTTGGGTGACGCTGGCAGCCAGGTGTAGTAAGCAATTAGGAAGGCAAATGGTACATTGCCATTCATTACAAGGCAATTTGGATACAGAACGAAACATGTCTTGTTGCAGTTGTATGAAGCCATGGTAAGACCATATCTGCAATAAGGGTCTAGGCCCGAAACGTCAGCTTTCCTGCTCCTCTGATGCTGCTTGGCCTGCTGTGTTCATCCAGCTCTACACCTTGTTATCTCAGATTCTCCAGCATCTGCAGTTCCTACTATCTCTACAATATTGTGCACAGTTTTGGTCTTCTTACCTAAGGAAGGATATTCTTGCCAGAGAGGGAGTGCAATGAATTGTGGTAAAAAATTCTGCAGATTCATGAACCTTTGAGAGAAGAAACATTTCCTCATCTATGTCCTAAATGGGTGATCTCTTACTCTAAGATTATGCCATATGGACCTAGAATCTCCTGCAATGAGAAAAACCTTTCAGCAATTATTCTGACAAGCTACATAAGAATCTGATATGTTTCAATATGGTCGCCTCTCATTCTTCTAAACGCCAATGAGTGCAATTCTTACCTACTCAACTTTTCTGCATAAAAATACGTCTATATCTGGTATCAGCCTAGTGAACCTTCTCTGGACTTCTCCAATGCCACTATAACTTTCCTGAAATAAGAGAACCAAAACTGTTCACATTGTTCCAGCTGTCGTCTAACTAGTGCCTTATATAGTTTTAGCAAGACTTTCCTACTTTTATACGCCATTCCCTTAAAATAAAAGTCAACATTCCATTTGTCTTTCCTGTTATCGGCAGCCTTCTGCAGTCTTTCTCCACTTAAATTTAATTCAGCTCTTCTAGTCATCTTGCCAAAATGTATAACCTCACATTTTTCCACATTATATTCCATTTTTCAAGTTTTGCTTTTTTGAGGTATTAAACAGTTTAGCTGCTGGAAATTTATTTCCCTAGGCTGGAGAATCCAAAAATCAGGATAAGGGGATGATTATTTTAGACTGAGATGCGGAGTAATTTCTTCAGAGGGCTGTAAATCTTTAGAATTCTGTATTATAGAGGAGCTGTGGGTGTGAACTGTCAGATTCAAGGTGTGATTGACAGATATTTTGACTCGACAGGAATCAAGGAAATCGAGCACCAAAGTGATTGAGGTCAAGGATCAGCCATGATCTTACTGAATGGTAGAACAATGGCAGGTTCAACAGGACACGTTCTTATTCCTGTTCTTTCTTTTCAATTTATGGCCTTTTTGCTGCCGCGTTAACTTTCGTAAAAATGGCAGCCACATAAAATGACTGGAATGGTTCATTGGAGATGTGGGGGTGTAATGGTAATCTTACCGGACTCATAATCCAGAAACCTAGTTTAATATTCTGAGGACAGGGATTTAAATCCCATCGTGGCAGATGGCGAAATTTGAATTCAATTATAAAATACTGTAAATAAAGCTAGTCTAATGGCGACTATGTCAATTGTCATAATTGTTGATTGTCATAAAAGCCCACCTGATTCACTGGGTCCTTTAGGGAAGGAAATCTGCCATCCTTCCCTGGTCTGGCTTACGCGTGACCCTGGGCAAATAGGGATGGGCAACAAATTTTTGCCTAACCAGCAATGTCCACATTTCATAAATGACTAAAACTAAAATACCTTCTGATTTTAGGCTTACAGAGAGTCCATCCGGTCTCAGGTAGTCATCCTCCTCCTCCTCCTCCTCTTCTTCCTCCTCATCATCATCTGCATAATCTGAATAAAACAATTAAAATCTGTAAGAATACATAGCACAAAAGAGAAAATATAGGAATAAGGATTCTTTCAGGTACTGTGAACTCTGCTTAATATCTTGCAATACTGCTAGAAATAATACAGAATATATTCATACCTATTTACAATCTTGCTATACGGAAGGACCAAAGTAAATCTCATGCCCCCTCCTTACACTACAGAAACATGATTCGCTGTTTGATCTATCCAAGAAAGGTAGAGATTTTGGATGCTGTAACATTAATATCTAAAGCATTGCAGGCACAATTCAATTATTGGAGTGTGAAGAATGCAATGAGTGACTAGATGAAATGAATGAAATCAGTAAATAAACACTTTTGCTCCCTGCTTTTCCCTGCTATCTTTCCAGCCTTTCACATACATGTACTGCCAGATTCTCATCTCTTAACCCTCCATTGAGTTTTTTTCTTTATTCATTTCTGGCATAAGGGCGTCACTGGCCAAGCAGCATTTAGTGCCCATCCCTACTTGCTCAGAGGGCAGTTAAGAATCAACCACGTTGCTGTCATGTCTGGAGTCACATGTAGGCCAGACCAGTTAAGGATGGCAGTTTCCTTCCCTAAAGGGAATTAGTGAACCAGATGGGTTTTTCCCGACAATCAGCAATGGATTTATGGTCATCATTAGACTCTCAATTCCAGACATGTACTGAATTCAAATTCCACCATCTGCCATGGCAGGATTCAATTCCAGGTCCCCAGAACATTATCTGAGTCTCTGGATTAACAGTTCAGTGACAATACCACTAGGCCATCACCTCCCCTGTTGGGTTATGATATAATTAGTCACAGGGGCAAGGGATGCTTTAGATGTAAAATTGCAAGTTTTAAACAAAAGTCATGTTAAGACATAAGTTGAGATGTGGAAGTGCAATCACTTATAAAGCTTTGTGCTTTACTTTTTCTACATTTATCATGTGCTTTACTCTTGTTCTGTAAGGTCATTGAGTCATAGAGATGTACAGCACAGAAACAGACTCTTTGGTCCAATTCTTCAATTCCAATCAGATATACTAAATTAATCTAGTCCCATCTGCCAGCATTTGGCCCATATCCCACTAAACCTTTCCTTTTCATATACTCATTCAGATGCCGTCTAAATATTGTAAACGTACTAGCCTCAACAACCTCTTCTGGCAGCTCATTCCTTGTACACACCACCCTTTGCATGAAGAAGTTGCCGCTTAGATCCTTTTTAAATCTTTCCCCTCTCACCATAAATCTGTGCCCTTTCGTTTTGGACTCCCCTACCCTAGGGAACAGATCTTGGCTTTTCACCCTATCCGTGCCCCTCATGATTTTCTAAATCTCTATAAGGTCACCCCTTAGCCTCCGACGATGCAGGGAAAATAACCCAAATTTATTCAGCCTCTCCCTATAGCTCAAACCCACCAACCTTGGCAATATCCTTGTAAATCTTTTCTGAACCCTTTCAAGCTTCACAAGATTCTTCCTGTAGCAGGGAGACCAGAATTGAATGCAGTATTCCAAAAGTAGCCTAACCAATATCCTGTACAGCCGCAATATGACATCCCAAATCCTATACCCAATGCATTGACCAATAAAGTCAGAAGTCACACGACACCAGGTTATAGTTCGACAGGTTTATTTGAAATCACAAACTTTTCGTGCATTGCTGCTTCGTCAGGCGACCTGTTATAGTGAAGCAGTCTGGGAAAAGTGTCCTTGCAGCCGGCGTCACAGTGAAGCATTCTGGGAAATGTGTCCTCACAGTCGTCGTCACGGTGAAGCAGTCTGGGGAAAGTGTCCTCAGAGTTGATGTCATGATGAAGCAGTCTGCGAAGGCAGTCTTGCAGTCAGTGTCACAGTGAAGCAGTATGGGAAGGGCATCCTCGTGGTTGGTGTCATAGTGAAGCAGTCTGGGAAGGGTGTCCTCACAGACGGTGTCACAGTGAAGCAGTCTGGGAAAAGTGT